GTCGTTGTTCATCATTATTCATCTAGACTTATATTGATAGTTAATATATATATATATATATATATATATATATATATATATATATATATGCATACATTTATTTACATATTCATACGAAGAAATACAGTGGAAAGGAAAAGGGTATGATAGCGCTGATATGTGATAGATATGGATCAAGGCCAAGAATCGAGGAATCTTTGTATTTCACCTCCCTTCGTTAGTTATTATATAGATTGAGGCGCAAGTGAAGGTTAAGAAAATCTCAAGGTTATTCTTCTTTCCTATCCTATTTTTTTTTTTTTTTAAAAATCGAGAAATACCGGTAGTTTTCATTGGAGCAGGATAACTTTACCTTTACTGTAAATACTTTTTTTTTCCCCACCCAACAAGTAATTAAAGTAATCTTACTGGATAGAAAGAGAAAGAGGACATATCGGTTTTTCAGTGTAGAATCTCTGTATTGGCAATAATTGATGAAGTGAATAAATTCAAATATACAAAGAATAAAGTTTATTGATAAAATCCATTCGAGAAAGTTTACGGTTTTTATTTTCAGGAAATGATTTTAATAGAATGAGGGAAAAAAAGGTGTGAAAGAAAAAGCTTTTTAAAGAGCGATGAGATTTATTCGTTGGCAATTTTTTCTATCACCTAAAAATGATTTAAATTAATTTAAACATTCCAATTATTTCGACACTATGTTAAATCGTTTGAAAAAAAAAAATTAATGAAATAGCTATACTTTTGTCTTCTTCTTTGAAGTAATGTATTTTGGCCAATTAGCTTAGCCTTAATAATATTGTAATTGCAACAAGCATGAAATATGTGTATTAAAGTCTAAATTTTTTGTTTTATTAATTTATCACAAGAACATTTTGCTGGATATACATCGAGAGGATTTTGGATGGTCAGCAATGAATGGACAAATACAAATGGACATGCACTAATACTCTAAAAAATTTTTTTTTACACATGCAATAGAATTGTTATTTAACTTTTTAAGCTTTATACTTTATTCAAAAATTATCAAAATATCATACTGACAGAAATTTATCAATAGATGATTATGGTTTTTTAGAGAATAAAAAGCAATTTTGGTTTAATTGCATTCATACATTATTCTTTATATCGTTCTGTGACATTATTTCTTATCACTATATCACAACACGATGAAAATGGTAGCTGTAATTTGTATTGATTTGTATCATATCATAATTTAAATTTGTTATCCTGATCTATTTTGTATTTTTCTAGCAATTAAAATTTCGAATGTTTCTAGACCGTTCCCAGACAAATTATTCAACCAGACATTATGGCTATTCTTTTGAGCATTATTCGATGATAGTGATAATTTGAAGTTTCAAAAATTGAATAACTTTTGTAATCAGGAATGATTGAAGTAAACTTACATGTTATTTTTATGACTAAACAATAAAATCATAGTAAACTAGTATTATCCTGAGATACTCCGTAATTACCATCAGAAGGAAACTGTTCATAATTAATTATCAAAAAACTCAATTATCAAGTGGATTTATTGAATTCCTTGCTATCTTTTTTCATCATTTTAAATTCTTTCTCTTTTTATCATCTTTTCCCCTTTTAAATTAATTCATTTTTTCTTTTTTTTTTGTGGAATGAATAATATTGGTAATGCAGTGAGAAAGATCGTTGAAAAAAGATGAAAAGATATCATTAATATGTTTCGCATTGCATAATTTTCACATTCTAACAACAATTTTTTCTTTTTTATTGAAATTTAAAGTCTTAACAGATAATATTCTCTCCCAAATTATCCTTCATCTTTCTTGTAGTAAATTTTATTATTGGTATGAAATCTTTTAATAAAAGAGTTGCAATTACTCTTACCATTTATCAGTTATTCGTTTTTAAAATCAAGAAATTTAATTTCTAACATTAGACAAAAAGATTTGGCGACATTACTGTGAAAAAAATTATCAAAAATTATCTAGGAAAAATTTTATCTCAATTTGGGATTATCTTTGGAGAATTTATTTTCACTAAAGATATGTCAGGATATTTTTGCCTTCATTCATAGAGTAACCTCAGGTCTAAGATTATTCTCTAATCTAAAAATTTGCTTTTATTCAAAATACTATCTAATCTTATTCGCTGAAGATTTACTTCTACTCAAATTTATCTCATGATAACATGTAATTCCTGCTAATCATTCAGGAAAGTATTCAAAGATGTCATCAGTTTGAAAGATATCTCATCGGAAGAAAGAATCGCTTGATCGCATGGATTTGAGTTTGGAACAAATTACATTTTCTTAGTTTAAATGATAAGATTACTGTAAAATGTTTCAAGTATCAGTTATCTTTCTAGCTATTCACATATTCCGAAGATTAATTGAATTATATGAGCTTAATAGGTACAGGTTCGCAGTTCTTGAACTTATTGCATTGCATTTACATAAGTATTATTACTATCGTACAATTGATTCTCCTTGAAAGTTACATTGGTAAATTTCTGAAAGCATGTTTTCCATCATTGTACTCCGTTGCTAGTACTCTCGGGTAGATTTCTCGGGATTAATTGGAAAGAAGAAATAGTCAGCGGTGAATATGACAGTAGTAGTAAGCACACTGTTTCCGTGGGAGTTTCTTCTGCTTACCGCATCAATATCACCCACACTTCATGATAACGATAAAAATGATGCAAAATTTTGTTTATACTCGCTTAATAGTTTATTGCGTTACTTATCCCTTATGCTACTTATTTCATCACTAATTAATTATCTGTTAATTACTTCCATTTAATTTAGAATCATTCGGCAGAGCAAGTTAACGATTAAACGATTCTGCATTTTCCATTCCTATCTGCTGATACTGCCACTCATGATCATCAATTTCATCTGCGATCATGCAGTTAGCACCTTATGGAATTAACTACCTATCCACCAAAACTTTCATTAACATCTTTGCTTACTCCATATATCACTGATACAATCACACCAGTGATATAATCATACTACATAATGTTTTTCTTCTACAACATTTAAGCATCTCTTGTACAGGGAGCTTATTAGGCTAAAAAGCAATTTCTTGTCTTTTTTTGATTAAAAAAGAAAAAAACTTTTCAAATTGAAATTGAGTGATTTTTTTGTTTTCATCACTTTCATAGTGAAATGACAAATAAATCAGACGAAAATTACAATTAACACATTCCTATAACTGAATAAATTTAACATTGAGCAAATATTCAACTTTCAAATTATTGGCTTATAAGAATTGATCATCACTATCTATCTCTACCAGCACATTTTGGATATAAAGTCATATAAGAGATATGATATTATCTGAGGACAAATATATCCTCAGTAAATTAACAACCTATTAAACGGAGCTAGTAAATCGCAAATATTAAATTTCAGATTGGTGCAGCTTTAGCAGAACGAAAACGTCATGTTGATCTTAGTAAAGATTGTTATATACAAATTCCAATACGTGTTGATGATGTACAACGATGGTGGAGTGGTAATGATTTCATGGGTTTATATGTGGAAGCATTTTATAAAAACGAAAATTTGGCTCTTCATCCACAAAATGATTACAAAAATGTTTGTATTTTTTCTTTTCATACAATATTGCAGTAATGATCCATTTTGATATCTGATAAATCTCTCTAATATTTAATAAAACAATCTCCATTCTTGTTATAGATGATGTACCTTGAAATAACAACAGTTGAAGAATGGGGACGTCATAAGCGTAGCTATCAGGAAGTATGTACAAAAGAGATGAACGAACCATCATGTTGCTTGTATAGTTTGGTTGTTGATTTTGAAGCTGCTGGTTGGGATTTTGTTATAGCGCCCAAATTATACGATGCGCATATGTGCAGTGGAGAATGTCGTCTTCATCATGTACGTTGCATCATTTTCCTATCATCACTTGGATTATCTTTTTAATATAAAATTTATAATCTAAATCTTCTACTAATATATTTCATAATTCAAAATTACGAAATTTGCTACAAGGCATTTCAATTAGATTCTTATTTAGCTAGAATCAATTCTTTGCAGGCTGGTCGTTCAGCACACAGCAAAATTACTTCATCGACAAAAAAAAACGCCGTAAATGGTTGTTGCCATCCAACCGAATACGATCCAATAACGCTTGTTTACATGACTCAAGAAAAGGAATTGAAAATTCGCGAAGTGCCAGGTATGATCGCCCGGCGATGCACTTGTGCTTGATTTCAAGCATCGACGAGATCGAGCGAACCCAAGGTGTCGAGGGCCACGTACTGAAGAAGAGGACGAGCATGGAATCATGGTTATCACGCTCCATTCTAACAGCATCGAAACATTGTTGCTGTAACTCCCCAAAGTTATGCATCTGCTGCTGCTGTTGTTGCGCACGCAGAATTCCACGAGCATCAAATTCCTCCCTTATATTTGCATAAATCATCAAAGTAGGATAAGGGAAGGGTATAAACGATATGACCAAATTTGGGGATATTTGGCTGACATCTTGAACGCTCACTTTGAATTTGCTTTGTTATTGATAGGTATTTAATTGTCAACCATCACGTTACAATCACCACCACCACTACCACCACCACC